TCTTCTGGCACGGGTCACAGCAAGTCTGGCACGGGTCACTGCATGGCTTCTGGCACGGGTCACTGCAAGTCTGGCATGGGTCACAGCATGGCTTCTGGCATGGGTCACAGCAAGTCTGGCACGGGTCACAGCATGGCTTCTGGCACGGATCACAGCAGACAGTCTTCTGGCATGGATCACAGCAAGTCTGGCACGGGTCACAGCATGGCTTCTGGCATGGATCACAGCAAGTCTGGCACGGGTCACAGCATCGCTTTTGGCATGGGTCACAGCAAGTCTGGCACGGGTCACAGCAAGGCTTCTGGCATGGGTCACAGCAGGTCTGGCATGGGTCACAGCATGGCTTCTGGCACGGGTCACAGCAAGTCTGGCATGGGTCACAGTAAGGCTTCTGGCATGGGTCGCAGCAAGTCTGGCACGGGTCACAGCAAGGCTTCTGACACGGGTCACAGCAGACAGTCTTCTCACAGCAGACAGTTTTCTGGCACGGATCACAGCAGACTGTCTTCTGGCACGGATCACAGCAGACTGTCTTCTGGCAGGGGCTGCAGCACACCGTCTTGCTCTTCACAACAGAGCAGGATCCACTGGAGCAGCACACGCTGTGGCACATGGTGTTTGTTGGTAGTGTAGTCCAAGCTGGAAGGAGCGAGGATCTGAAACACAATGCACATTAAGATACAATCCATCTTTTCAAATTCAGAGATGTGTTTTATTTTGGCATGCTGATGCTGCTGTCTAGCCCCACGGATGACAGCCACATCACACATCGCTTCCTATTTATTTGTATTGAGCTGCACAAAACTGAGACTTACACTGAGCCACCTGGCACTACCCCACTGATATTTCTGCATCTTTTGAGCTATCCTGGGAGCTACCTTCCCTATACTGACTGATGAACATCACTTGCAGAATTCCCATCCCGAAAAAGCTTCTTTTCCACTCCCAAGGCCTCAGCTCTGCACACCAACAGCCTTTTGCAGCAAGCAGTAGACCAGCAGGATGGGAAAGTCGCTGCCTCAGAGTTGTAGATCAAAGAGCATTTCCATTCATTGCTTGAGCAAAGCCAAATGAGAACCGTTGTTAGCAGACAACTCTAGGTAACGCTTACCTTGCTAACTGAGGGATTCAGTTGAGTGAGGAGCAAAGGGACGGGGAGACCTTTTATTTAGCTGAAAATGGCCCTGACGGAAATGAGGTACCCCACAGCAATTTGTGATTTACCCACTAAGCCTATACTTATTTGTTGAATGTGCCCGCATCTGTTTCGTCTTCACCTCATTATTTTTGACCAACCCCTCAATTTTGTGTTATTATCAATTTATTCTGTGAATTTTTTACAATTTTTTAATGTCAAGTTAATGTGTGGTGCTCTTGAACGACTTAACAAGCACGTTTCTGCTCATTTTGCATCTGGTAGTGCTGTGGCACTGAGATGATGAATGGGTATTGAGTGGTAAATTAACATACAAATCATAATTCGGATTGAGAAGCGCTGGATTCCAGAGATGTGCAGGGGCCTTTTGGGTGTCAGTCACTCCTTCATATGATTTTTATTTCTTTACATGGAGTTCCACCAAATGTAGTTCCATGGCCCCATGTTTTGTTAATGAAGGCAGAAATAGAAAAGCCTGATGACGTTCTTTGGGGCATCTGTTTATCAGAAGAGCAAATGTGGAGCAGAAAGCTCTTGAAATCTCATCCCTCAATCAAGATAAGGGAAAATGCATGCCCTTGGTGTCACCAGTACCGGAAATTTTAGATGAAAGAACCACGCAAATTCATCATGGAATCATGCAGAATTGAGTTCGGGTCAAACCAGAGTCCATATTTTTCCAATTCCTTTTTTACATCTTTATATGAAAATAAGACACAAACGTTTTCTGGAAATCTTACATACTTAGCATATGCTTAACATGACTTGATCTGCAAAATTCCTATTCAGTTTTCAAATTCCCATATGCCCTTGAGTAAGGGAAGATCCACCTACAGAAGGTATTTTTAGAGCATCTACGCTCGGTTCTCCGTCACCATTAGCGCCAATGCTAATGATCAGATTGCAATTATTCATTAATGGTGCTAATATTTATTTTGCATGATGGCCTGAAGGCCTCACATAATGCATGGAGCATCGTGACGTTTCCAAACTGATGTCTGCCTAACAATTTGTCTCCGGTCAGGGGGAAGGCACGGGGCCAGGGCCGTGACTGGATGTTAAATGCTTTGTGCTGAGGTCACCCCGGGGCAAACTCTGCTCATGCCATGAGGGTCTGTGTGCCTGGGAGCACCCAAGGACCCCAGGTCACCTTCTCCTGCATCTTCATTGAAGATTTCTGCTGAGGTAAATGGGAGAATGCAGGCCTTCTGCATTCCTAAGCTCCCTGGAAAACAGCAAAGCCCAGAATCACTGAGGACAGAAGATACTGAGGACAGAAGAAGTCACTACTGATATTCAGTTTGTCTTCTGATGGCATCGAGCATGCATTTCCACTCCCTTTCTGTTGGGATGCTGCTGCTAGGCTTGGCTCATGGCCTTCCATCATAAAAGGGACCACCAAGTTCCCTTTCTCCAACCAAGCTCTTCCCAAGTTCAGCTTCACATGTGCTAAAACGTGAGCTTTGCCTCCCATGGAATTTGTTTATCTTCATGCTAACAACCCAGATGCACCAGGTCACTGCATATTGTTAGAGCCCAATTAGCAATACAGATAGGCACCAGCTGATAAGAAAGGAGATGAGGGTAACCCAGGGGATGGCCAGGAGGGGACTGGTGAGCTGCAGGGAAGCAGGAGGGTGCCCTGACATTGCAAATGGGGAGACAGTGAGCAGTGTGAAAGGACAGATGTTTATGATAGAGAGGCAGATTTCTGTGGGGCTTTGTATGGGTGTGATGAACTGCTTCACCCTCTATGCTAGTAGGTTGGGAAAGCAGTGCTGCTGTTGGAGCTGGCTGAGCACAGCAGCTGCGTCTGAAGCCATCCGTAAGGAACGGTCAGAGAGTCTGAGGACCAGAAAACAATTCCCCAATCCCTCACTACAAACTGAAAGATTTGAAAAATAAAAATCCCCATTACCTTTTAGGCTTAGTGAACAAACACAAAGACCTACATAAGATGCTCAGAGTAAGGCAGTGTTGTTTATTTTGTTTGTGAATTATGAACGCGGTGAAGCAATCATTGCCATGTAACAACTAATGTAAATTCTCCCTCATTAAACCTTCAGGGCTTTGCTAATAGTTCATCCTGGTTGTGGACATCTGCTATTACGCTGTTTGGTGCAGTGGAGCAGAAATGTTTCTCCAAGCTATCTAAAGCATTAGGCGTGGAGAACTTCTTCCCTTTGCAAATTTTTATGGTCTTGGATTTTTATTATTATTTTTTCTTTGTCCTATTGATGCAAAACGTCCACCCAGTGCTTGATCTTTGCAGGTGATGAAGCTGACAAAACTTTCATTCTTGTTTGCTATTATGTCTGCAACTTCTCATCCTGAAGTTAACAAAACTTCAGGCTTAAGCATAGAGGAAAATGTAACCCGGTTAGAGCTGTGAGTCCTTTGTGGGACTAGAGGAGGAGGAAGCAAAAAATGCTGTGATTAATCATGGAATAGAAAGTTGAAAGCCTGGGGCATGAAAGGAAAGTGAATGCATGTACCTGAAGACAAAACCACTCGTGAGCAATAAAAGCCAACACCCAATTGGAGCCATCCCAGTTATTGACCCAACACCTTATTGGAGCCATCCCAATTATTGATGACCCAACACCTGATTGGAGAGAAGTGAGGAATGCAGAAGGGAAGGAGTTTTTTAATGCATTTCCCACCAGTTGAAAGTGAGCCATCTCTTACTAATGGTAACAAGAAGGATTCAGCTCTGTAATTAATTGCCCTCTGTCTTCAATTGGCAACTTTTCCTTTTAAATAGGCTGTTCCTCCATAATGACAAATTTCTCTAACTTATAGAGAACTATTTCCAATTACTTCTGCACCAACAGGTTATTTACTGGGGATTTTAGTGTGCAGCTCACCCAGCCTTGCTTGCCCCAGGATGGATGAATCATGCATGGGAAACCTTTGCTCATTTTACACTGTAGAAAACGTTTAATTGAGGGTGTTCCAAGGCACTGTTAATGTCCCTGCAGGATTTGCTTTGTTTTGTTTCCAAATATAGCAGCACCTTTAAAGATCCCATGTGGAGTGCAAACGTGACTGGGCAGAGAAAGCCCCTGGCTGTAACTCTTACACCCTCACTGCATCTGCTCAGTGCAAACACTCAGTTTTCACCCAGAATTAACCCAGTGCAGTTCTTGCAGCCCCCCTGTGCAGTGCTGTGAGCATTTCCCCAACTTTCACCCCTCAGTGGTGCTCCTCACGCTATGGCTAAGTCCACCAGTGATTAAAACACAGCTCAAAACCCACAAATTGAATAGGACAGAGTAGTGACTAAACACCTCCAGAATGGCTGAAATGCAACTTTTTATTTTCTAGCTGAAGATGGGAGTAGCAAAGCAAGAAGGAAACTACTGGCAGCAAACACCGTGCATTGAACTGCTGGAAAGAGCTCAAACAGATAATGAACCAGAGGTTGTGCACCCTGATATTGCATGGCCCTCCACCTGCTTTGAAAGCATTTGCTCATGGAGAAGCAGCATGGCTGATAAGCAGTGAACACTGAGGATGAGGTCAGTGCATTGAGCAGGAAGGTGTCCATGCGTTGCAGAGCCAGGTGCATGGCTGGATCCTCCTGTTAGAACTTGGGGCACGGTGGAGGCAGCTTGCAGATGTTCTTGGTGTACTGAGGGCAGTAAGGGATGGGTGGGCAGCAGGTCTTCACCGGGGGGCAGCAGGGCTGCACTGGGGGGCAATAGCGCTGCACTGGAGGGCAGCAGGGCTTCACTGGAGGGCAGTAACGCTGCACTGGGGGGCAGAAGGTCTGCACCGGGGGGCAGCATGGCTTCATGTAGGTGTACTTGGGCACGGGGACCCTCTGGATGGTGTAATGGCAGGAGGGCTCCGAGTCGTGGCAGGAGGAACGGGAGCCATGGCAGGAGGTCTCGTGGCTGTGGCAGGAGGATCCACGGGAGCACATCTTTATGGAGTGTTGGCAAAGCTGCTGGGATCAAGAGATCACGGCGATGAGAAGACACCCATGCTGCTTCTCACCCACCCTCAACCACCCCTTTCTTTCTTATTAAAATTATTCTTGATCTCCTTTATTGAATTCTTTCTGTGTCTTCCAACTCTATCCCATGTGCCCACTTGGCTCTGCCTCACCCTCTCCCTTTTAACTTGCTTTGTCCATTCCTGCACAAAGCCCAGACCTTCAATCCAGTGTAGAGAGCCCCACCATCCTCTCCCAAAGCCCATTTCCCACCCCAGTGCCTTCATATGGCAACACAGAGCCAGAATGAAGAGAAGCATCCTTACCTCTGCAGCAACACGAGAAGAGTCAGGAAGGGATGGCAAGTGAGTAGGTCTGGGCTGAGCAGGCTTTTATGCAGCTCCAAAAGGTGATCTTGGGCATGAGGCACCACTGTGCAATGGCAGTGGGATTATTCACGCTCTCAATATGGCACGTGTCGTTGCTGCCCTACTCTTAGCCCTTCCTCTTTGACGCGTGATGTTCTCTCCCATATTTCACTCCTAACAAATTCCCTATGAAGATCTGGGAAGTGGTATTTTTCCTGTTTCCTGCAGACTGACAGTAATCTGATAGATGTTAATTAGCGTGCCATTGGGCACCTGGGATTGCATCAGGGGCAGAAATGTCATTACGGCTCAGAAATGCTGACTCCTGTAGCAGGCAGACTGCCATGTTCAAGTGACAGCTCAGGATTTTAATTTACCTGTTGTTTAACATCAAGAGGAAATGACATTATCAAATGCAAGTCACGGAATCATGGAAGCATTTAGACTGGAAAAGACCTCCAAGACCTGCGGTGTCAGCTAACAACCTATCCTAGCAATTCCATCACTGAACAAAACAGAGCCTGCCCAGGTGATGAAATTGGTGCTTTCCCACTGTCTGCACCTATTCTGCTCCTATCCTTCTTCTTGCTGTTCTCCAGCAGTATCACACTGACAATCCCTCAACTCTTTCCACCTCCTCCACAGATTTCCCAGTGGGGCTTCTTCAAGTTCCACTGCTTACAGATGTTTCTGAATCTTTCATTATCAGGGCCTGCTACTGATAATATGACTCTGAAGGGTTCACATCCATTGTGTGCAGTTGTTCCAGAGGAGTACACCAGGAAAGCCCAACGTAGAGTGAGGAAATGCCGATTTTTGAGTGATGTGGGTGTTGACACACGTCTGGATACATTCAGCAGGATTTGGGTGATGATTTCTCAATAAAAGGGTATTATGGTGCTGGGATTGGTGCTATGCTGATGTCCCTGAATCTTAGATAAAACTGACCTTCTTGGAGCTTGGCCATTTCTCCATTCCAAAGGACGTGTTAGCAACAAACAGTGCTGGCGTGGGGAAGAGAAGTTCATGACTTCTGTTTTCTCAGCTGTACAGAGATACTGAGATATTTGAAAGCACTGATATGGGCAAGTGGAACAGCTGATCTTGGAGTACATTATTTGCATGTATTGACTGAGAAGAAGAGCAACTGTGAATTATTTATTACCCTTTCATGGAACGAGTTCTGCATGTCCGCAGAAGCTACCATTCAATTTGCAGTCAGTAGTCTTTTACTTGTTGTTTCCAAGACAGTGGGGTGAAGAACCTCTGCAGAATAGCTGATGGGTTGGTGGCAGGAGGGGAAGCTTTGTGGTGCTCTGCCCTCGAGATGTACATGGAGCTTTGGTAGATGAGGACTTATTTTCTCTACTTATGTGACTCTTTTCTCCCCAAATGTACCTAGAAATTGTTGTTGGACACTGACAATGGTGTAAAGGGAGTAATCCAAGAGCCTGAAAAGTGAATAAGGAAATGAAAGGAGAATACGAGTCAAATTAATTGTAAGCTTTATTGTTTCCCACAGCCGGATGAGTCTGAAACAGAAACGCGAGGCATGAAAAGATTCCCAATGATAATTATGCACTGAATACATGGAAAGAACATTTCCCGAGTCATTGGAAAGAGCAAATCCTTGTAAGATGACTGGGGGAGCACATTATGCACAGCAGCGATGAGGCACAGAGCAGAGACCCTGGGATGTCATCCATAGCGATGCATCAACCCATGGCCATGGTGTCCAAGGAGGAGGGAGCCAGTGGTGGTGGAGTGTGGCTGGATCATGCAGCTAGTATTTGGGGCATGATGGCGGCAGCTTGCAGATGTTCTTGGTGTACTGAGGGCAGTAGGGGATGGGTGGGCAGTAAGTCTTCACTGGGGGGCAGCAGGGCTGCACCGGGGGGCAATAGCGCTGCACTGGGGGGCAGAAGGTCTGCACCGGGGGGCAGCACGGTGTCACGTAGGTGTACTTGGGCACAGGGACCCTCTGGATGGTGTAATGGCAGGAGGGCTCCGAGTCGTGGCAGGAGGA